TCAGTGGTTGCATAAATGGATTCTTCTACACCTCATGGTTACCATTTTATTTCATGAAAGGTTGCATGGAATTTTGAAAAGGAGCTAAAAAGCATAAGACTGAGGCTGCTAGCATTGATTTTGAGTGCTGATAAATTGTAAAAATCTTATTTCTCCTTCATTTTTTTGATTACTTATATTACCTTTGAATTTATTAGTTGTTGAATCTAATAAAGACTTGGGGAGTGAAGTACCTACGCTTAAGATGACCATGTTTAAAGACTAAGGGTTGCAATGTATGTATTTTTGTTTATGTTTTAAAGCCTTTTTTGCATTTGCAGTTTCCTTAAATATGCTTTGATTTCTCTCATGTAGGTGCTGATGATCTTTATGTACATTCTTCAACAGGAAGCAGATGAGGCTTTGTATGCACATCAAGTTTGATTAGATTGTATATACCGGGGTTTTTAAGTGAGCAATGTCAACATATTGATCCTTGTGGGAAGTGGGGAGTGGCAAAGAAGTTGGACTCCAAATGCTATGTTAATGTCTTGTGAAATGTTGGATCCTAGAGTTTTTAGATTTAAATATGTAGAACAGTAGAAATGCATTGAATATCAATAAAAGAAATTCTTTATTTGGGTATATCAAACGCAAATATAGAAATATGAAAACTATAACTATAAGCATGTTGGTAAGGAGGCTATAGTTTTGTAAATAAATATTAAACAAAATTAATGCTATAGGTTTGTAAAAAATATTAAAATGAAATAAAAAGACCCGGTTGCATAGCCTGAATCATATGATCAAACAAAATTAAACTCTAACTTGCATAATAAAACCTGGTTCTATGCATGATAACCAGGATATATATTGGTACAAAAGTGATACTCAAATGTAGGAAAAAACCGGTTTTGTTCATAGAAACCGGGTTGTATTACTCAAATATGGCCCGGTTGTAAAACCGCGTCTTATTATGTTTTCCACATAAGACTCGTTGCCCATAAGACCCGGTGGAAAACCGGGTCTTTTAACTTATTTAACCGGGTCATATAAGCCTTTTTGTAGGTTTTCCTTCCTTTGTCTTCTGTACTCAAAAGACTACCGGATGTTTCTCCGGTACTCCGTTTGCACACATCCTCGCCGAGGATTAAGTCGTGAATACCTTCGAACGACAACTTAACATCTCCGACTGAACTAGTAATTGTTATCACCATCCCGGACCAACAATCATGTAAAAATGATAATAGTAACAATGTCATGACCTCATCTTCAAATCCGATATCAAATTAAGCCAGTCTTGAGATAATTGAATTGAACTCGTTCACATGATTAGTCACAGAACTACCCTCCTTCATCTTTAGAATTACAAACTGACGAATCAAATGCACGTGCAGATGATTTTTCATACATATTGGACAACGCCTTCAAGAGATTGTAGGTAGTCTTCACATTGATAATAATTTATGCTACATACTATTCCAAGGACAACCTTATCACTACAAGTGTCTTTCGATCCGGTAGATACCAATCCTCCTACTCCATATCTTTTGCTCCATATCTTCAGGCTTCGATTCCTTCAATGGTAAATGCAATTATTTTTTATAGAGATAATCTTCGATTTGCATTCTCCAAAACCCACAATCGTTTCCTTTATGGATCTTAAACTTCCCTTCTTTTGTTGTCATAATTCTGATACTAGTTTCTCTTAAAGAAAACCTACCCTGCTACTTTAACACTTGTCGACCGCCTAAACAATGTTGTCAATAAGTAGCCCTACTATCATGACTGCCATAAGCAACCCTATTTTTCCTTGAAAATTCTGGGTTTTATACCCATGTGAGGCGTGAGGTTAGGAGTTTGATTGCTATCTCTTGTGGTGCCACATGTGAGGAATTTTTCCCTGAAAATCTTTATGAGGACTGGATTTGCCCCGTAAAGGAGCTCGAACTCGGGGTGCTCGCTGAAATATTACGAGTAGGCTTCCACTTAATTCGTTTTCCGTTTTCAAAAAAAAATAACAATCCTATTTATTCGGACTATTCCAGCAGATTGCCATAAACAACCCTGCTTATTCGGACTGCTCATAAGCAACTCAACCTCTACACTCAACAAGATTTTGGTTCTTTAATGGAGAAGCACAACTGAGTACAAGTATAGTAGGTAATCCATCGTAATTGAATAGATCCCATGATGATCGAGGTATCACCACTAGATTATGGCAGCTACAACATGTGCCAAGGAAGGAAGCATTGTGAGGGCGATAGTGCGAGAACACAAAATGATTTCAGGGGGGAAGGAATCACGTGTTGGGTTTTAACGAATAGAAGGGGATCTAGCGGTGTTGTCATGTGAACACACTGTGAGATGTAAATGACCCCTCGGATTAAGAGCCGGTGGGCGAGCTGGGCCACTGCCCTGGGCTGAAGAGCATCAGATTGTATTGCTTCTTATGGTATATGTTCATATATATTATTGGCCATATTAATGATCCACTACGGTAAAATACATGCAGCTATAAGGCGCCAACTCTAAAAATCAAATTCAATTGAGTAGCTAAAAGATATGATGCACACGACACGATTTAATGTATGGGTAAATGCAACGTCGCAATACATCTAGATTGAGGAGTTTCCTCAATCCACATATTGACTTTTGATTTAAAATATGAGTCCCCCTCTAATTTATTTTATTCAAAGTAAGGTTTTTCATTTTACACATCATCCTACATTGACTTACTACACACCAATTTAATACGAGTTTTTGATCAAAATGGTTTTTTTTTTAAAAAATATTTACCAAATAGGTGTAGTTTTAAAAATATTTACCAAATAGGTGTAGTTTTAAATTTTTAATTTTTTTTTTAAATTTCAGTTTTTTTAATATTTTGCTGTTTTTTTAGCATACTTTTTTTACTTTCTTTTTTACTTTTTGCTATAAAAAAATGTGTTTTTTTTTTGTTTATATACATCAAACAACAAAAAAAAAATGGTTTGTACACTGCTCGACCGATTAGAACACAAAAAAACGAGAATGTTTTTTTCTTATTTTTTATTGTTATAGTATCTATATGAGACAAAAAATTATTTTTTTATTGTTTTGTATTATTCCTTGAAAAAAAAGATTTTTTTTTCTTGTTGCATCTAAACTCTAGATATACAAAAAGAAAAGAATTATGTATTTTTTTTTGCTACGACATATATGTATTTAAAACTAAAATTGTTTGTTAGTTTTTATAAGAAGTCTTTGTTGGTTTAGATTAAAAAAATTGTTGTTATAATGTTTTAAGTACAAAACCAACCATTGTTTCTTACAAAATAAATAACATCGAAATAGCTTGTTTCGATAACCACTATTTGAAAAAAAAAAGTTAAAAGAATAAGATCTAAAATCGAATGAACCAAACAAAAAGATATTGAATATGTCTTCATTTATTTTGTTTGGTTCATTCAATTTTATACCTTATTTTTTTTAATTTTTTTTCTTTTTTTTTCAAATAGTGGTTATCGAAACAAGCTATTTCCATATTTTTATTTTGTTTTGTATTTCTTAGAAGTGATTGTTGGTTTTTTTTAAATAAAACATTGTACCAATAATTTTTTTAATCTAAACCAACAAGGACTTGTAAAAACTAAAAAACAATTTTTTTTTCAATATAAACCAATAAATATCATCTTTATAAAAAACCATCTAAATAATTAATATATTAATAAAGCTAAACATTGTTGGAAAACAATTCTAAAATTAAACTATTTAATTAAAATTGATTTGATATATATTAGTTTTAAATACATATATATGGTAAGAAAAATATACACAATTCTTTTCTTTTTGTATATCTTGAGTTTTAGATGCAACAAGAAAAAAATTCTTTTTTTTCTTCAACGAACAATACAAAACAATAAAAAAATGATTTTTTGTCTCATATAGATACTATAATAATAATAATAACTAGAAAAGTTACCCCCGCTACGCGGGGGCCAGAAGCTTTCAATGTTGTTTCTGAATTGATAAATATGACAGACATAGAAAATGCAAGGATGAAAAGTCCGGGCTTTGCCCCGGACAAAAAATGTAAAAGTTTTGACTGCAAGGACCAGAAGTGTGAAAATGGCTAAAGAATTAAAGGGTTAGGAATTAGCAACTTTTTAGAAAAGGGATCAAAGTTGTCAAACCGTTAAAGTTTTGTGGCCAAACTTTAAATATTAAAAGGTTCGAAAAAAGTGTAAAAATATTGATTGCAAGGACCAAAAGTGTCAAAATGGGTAAAAAAGAATAATGAGCAAAGTTGCCAAAAAACATCCAAATTTAGTATTCCTAACTTCCAACAATAATACAGGGACCAATTCTGCCAAAAAAATGGGAAGTTGAATGGAACACAAACAAAAGGACATGAATAAATTAATTAAAGAAGTACAGGGACCGGATATGTAAATCAAAGGACCAAACCTGGACAACCAACTTCACTATTCCTTTCTTCCACAACTTTAATATATATACTAGAAAAGATTCTCCGGCGTTGCCGGGGTCGGAAGGTATTGCTTTGTAAAGTAAAGTAGCATGTTGATTGCTTTTTGTCCGTTAATGTGAGGGTAATTTGGTCTTTTCAGGTAGTAGGGACTGAATTTGTCATCATGGGTAAACCTTATGAACCATTTATATAATTTTGTCGGCAAATTCAACAAAACCCAAGGACCATTTATGTAAAATAAACCAAATCTTCACTGTTCATAAATGTTTTTACACATTAAAAAAAACCCATTAATTAAAGAAGTGACGATAAAAAAAAAATGGGAATCGTTTTAAGCAAAAGCGGAGCGAGAGAATTGAGCGGAAGAAGTAAAAAACAATAACTTAGGGGAAAAGTGGCAACAGGTAAAACAGTTGAGGCAAAAGAGTAAAAAAAAAAAGTTGTAGAATTACCATTTCATAAAAGTGTTATCCTTTAAACAAAGTGACACACAAACAAAAATGGAGGGACCGGAAATGTAATTTAAGAGACCAAAAGTGGCAAAAATATCTCAGCTTTACTGTTCTTTTTGTCCACAACTTTAATATAATAATAATAATAAGAATAATAATAACTAGATGAGTTTCCCACGCATTGCGTGGGTTAGAAAGTACGTTAATCAACATGGTTTGAGCTGGCAATAACTATGATCTCTTGAGTTATCTGCAAGAAACAGAAAAACCTTAACGACATAATGGCAATGTATTTTCATCGATATAGTCAATGCGTTAGTTACATCGGAAGGCAAAACAACAATCGAAATATGTAGAACCGATTTCTTTCATGGTGTCAAAATGCTGTCTCGCTGCATTTAATGAAGCGTGTGCAGTGTGTGAAGGTAGATATGTGCCATTTGGCGTTTGTGCTTGCCATGTTGTAGTATGATGCCGATTGTAGACTTGGAATGTCCCTTGGATTCATCCAAAGTTCAGATGTCTCTGCATGGAATGGAATCAGTCTTTGCATTCCATTGTATGAATGGAATGAGTTTCTTGTATTAAATATATTTAATGAGAAATTGTGAAAAATATATTAATAGCACTGAGCTTTACCTAAGGATTAGGGACATAAACATTCCCATCTTTGTACATAAGCCAGGCGGAATCATCAATTCCGGAGGCTTGCTGCTGTTGTTGCTGTTGTACCATGGGAATTGTGGTTGCAGGAATGGTGTTAGCCACATGAGAACTAAATCCCTGTATGGAAAAAAAACACACAAATGATCAATTATCAAATCAGTCATTTTTTGAATCAAGCCATCTACATTTTTATTTTACCCATAAATCCAAAAAAATACGTTAAAATAATATTTTTTGGTGAATTAAACCATGGCATAATAATATGTAAAAATGAAATCATTTTTACCAGATACGTTAATTTTGGTCATGACCAATTTCGTCATTTTGGTGAAAATAACCATTTTAGTCATTTTCCCATATCAAGCTAGTTAAACAAAATAAAAATAATAAATAAGCAATATACCAACTTGCTCTCCCACAATGGCATCATTTCCATCAGAAGCAGCTGCACATGTACTCACAGTAAACCCAAAGTCAACATTTGACAACATTTGTGTAGCCTTCAATTATCATCCTCATAATCCTTATTTGATATATAATTCTTTAGATTTTTTCAATGCATCAACAACTAACAATTTAGGTAACTTTACATAACTAAAATAAGAAAATAATGAAATCAAATATAAGGTCTAACTATTTTTTTTTAGTAACTGTTAGGTTAACAAATGACACAATTACATATGGATTCCAATGGAGTTGATTTTGACCCTTTTAAAGTCAAATCGATTTGTCTTCAAATTTGAAACCGATAAGATTTGTTATCATTGTGGTTAAAAAGTCTAAAATAAATGTCTTTTTATGTCAAATTTCTTGAATCTTGGAAAAGAAGAAAACCCGAATATCAAGTTGGAATCTTTCACTTTCTTCCACAAACTTAAGTAGATATGACTTTCTAAAATTAAAAAGATTCATTTGTGACTTTGGACATCTATAAAAATTTTGTTATCATAAAAGAGAAAGAATTTGAATGTTGAGTTAACGGAATCTTAAAAAACAACCCCATAATGGAGTTGAAATCCATTACCCTTGACCATAAGTTAGAGTCAATTTTGACTTTTTTGAGTCAAATTTATTAATTTTTAACTACAATATCGATAAAACTTGTTTTCACTATTAAGACAAAAAAAATGAAAAGTATGTTGTGATCACCGAAAACATTTGACCACAGAAAATTCAGTCCATCAAAAAAAGATTGAATTTACAAAGTCAAAAGTTGACTTTCACTAATAAAGTCATCTTTGACTATTCATACAGTGGAGGCCTGAACTTCAACGATTTAAACCAAATGTTCCAGACTTCCAGTACCCGTTGGGACAAAATTACGTGCAAATTCAATTTACATTTCAAACAATAATTTTATTTTGCATTTCAAGATTCCTTTAAAACAACCACCTATATATAATATAATTTCTTGAAAAAAGAAGCATTTTAAGAAGATTTTTCGTTTTTTTATTAACAGATCTTCGTGATGACAGAGGATATTTAGCTGATCACTTGTATTCCTAAATTCAACATGATCTTCTTTGTCAGAACTAAGAGAAGTTTTCGCCACACACTATAGATTCACTCTTGGTCATATTTATTCGGTAATTGTAAAACGGCATGTGATGAACTGATAGAGTAGAAACATTGACGAAATAAACTTAATACATAAATGATACATGTAAAAGAAATCAGATTAAGGTAACAAATTTGTGAATATAAAATCATAACAAACCTTGATTGGCTATTCATATTTGTGCTCCCATTTGCAGAGTTGATAGCAGCCCCGAATTAACTAATGGACCTAAACACATATCAATGATTCCAGAGATCAAAATCTAACGACAGAATTGAATCAAATTAAAAATGGTGACATACCTGGTTGAAATATTCAACTTTTCAATAATACACAATGCCAAATGGGACATGTAGAAGACCTCCGATTTCCTACAAATAAAAAAAAAAGTTCAGTAATGGAAGAATTGGATAAAATTCATTTCAAACTCTCAATTGTGAATCAGACTGGTGTTAAATGAAGTTGATTTGAGGGTTGTTGGGCAAAAGACATTGATAGTAACCAAAAAAAGCACTTTCCCATGTTTCCCGTCTTCAACATGTACATATGACCAAGTAAGATATTGATACAATCATTTGGAGCACAGTCGTACCTGAAACTTAGTTTTCCAATTCCAAAGACTCCTTTTAAGCTTTGTTCCCCCTAGTATTGATACCTGAGATCATGAATTTAAAACTGAATTTAAAATTTCTTACCTGAAGAATCAAGCAGTTTCATTTCAGCATACAGTGCAAGGGGGATTCAGATCATCGGGATTTTAGGTTTGGGATGTCCGGCTGCTTGGTCGCCATCGCACCAGGGGTCGTCGTCGCCCTTGAATCGACGATGGTGGATGGAGCAGAGGTACCACCAGTAGCGCCAGCGTCCGTTGTCGCTGCCTCCTCTTCCCTGTCCGCCGTTTAGTCGACATCATACACCGATCGTTGCTTGCCTGTAGCAGGTAAAGGTTCCGACACTGCATGTTCTTGAAGCATTTGCAATCGGCAAGGGATCGCGTATACTGGACTTCGACGGTAATCGTAGAGCAATCGTAGGCACGCAGACATAATCGGCGGCGAGGAAACGGCCTCCGACTCATCTTCCTGCCGATGGATTGAACACAACACAGACGTGACCTTTTCCTTCTTTTTTCCTGTATTGATCTTTTTGATCTGTTAGTCGACTCGATGTAAGAATTTGGGGTAAGGAAAGAAGATTATTTCTCCAAACCATTTCCTTAATATATACGAAGTGACACACAAACAAAAATGGAGGGACCGAAGAGGGTTAGGAGACGGTGGAATCTGGAAGAGGATAAAAGGAAGATTGTGGAAGGATCAGGGTGGAAGGATCGGGATAAATTAATTAAGTGACGGAAGAAATAAAAATAGAGGGAGCGGAAATGTAATTTAAGGGGCCAAAACCAACAAAAATGTCTCAGATTTACCGTTCTTTTCATCCACAATTTTAATATATATATAATAATAATAAAACATTCTCGTTTTTTTATGTTCTACTCCGCGTCGAGGAGTGTACAAACCATTTTTTTTCTCTTGTTTGATGTATATAAAAAAAAATATAGCAAAAAGTAAAAAAAAAAATAAAAAAAGTATGCTAAAAAATAGCAAAATGATTAAAAAAATTGAAATTTTAAGAAAAAATTTAAAACAATACCCATTTGGTAAATATTTTTAAAACTACACAGGTAAATATTTTTTTTAAAAACACCACCAAAAACTCAATTTAATATTAGATAAGTTAACGTCAGCCTAAACTCTACAAAAACCAATGCACCTTTTTTTAAGAAAAAAGCCACGTGCCTTTTTGGCTTATAAGAAGCCACACATCATTTAAACTTTTTTTTTTTTTTACAAACTAATATAGATACATCAAACTCTTAATTTAAACATTTAAATTTTATGATATTTATTATTAAACCTTACGGTTAAATTAATTTTACTTACTATAATCTTAATAATAAAGTATTTTATAATATATTAAAGCAAAATATTTCCTATTGTTTTTTTTCTTGTTTATTTACAAATTAACCCTTAGATATATCAAACTTTTAATTTAAACCTTTAAATTTTATGATATTTATTATTAAACCAAGCCGTTAAATTAATTTTATTTACTACAACTTTTCTTTTACTCCAAAATTTTGAAATTTTCTAAATTTCAAATATTATACCAAAATGTTCATATTTTCGTATTTTTCAAATTTCAAATTTTTTTATTTTCTAATTTTGAAGCACTTGTTTTTCTGAAGATATATTAATCTCTGATTAATTTTAATATTTTATTAATAATCTATGGTTCCCGATTAATCTCCGTCAAGACCGATTAATCTTTTAACCCCCGTGGACCACCAAATGATTGTTAAAACCTATATATATATATATATATATATATATATATATATATATATATATATTAAAAGTAATATGTTTAGACTATAGTAACACAACAAGAAATAAAGGTATTAGGGGCGACAGTATTAGAGACATCAAGGGGTATTAGCGGCGACACATGACAACATGCATTTGTGTCATCGCTAAAAGCGCCCCGTCACCGCTAAACGATTGTGTAACACCGTAAATTTCAAACAAAATTTTCAATTTAAAATCACATAATTCTCATAACACATTTCGCAAAATCCCATTTATTTAATTTACAAAACGCAACTCCATAATTGTTTGATTAATAATCCAGGATCCTCAAAACATAACTCTTTCTCTGGTGTGTACAATCGAACCGACACCCTTCCGCGATCCTGAGAAGAACCTGAAACACATATCACATAACACGGTAAGCACGAAGCTTAGTGAGTTCCCCAAAATATCACATACAACTCATTAGCCACTCGAGGTTATAACTCTGTAAGACCCTCTTGGTCAATGTGTCTCAGTGGGACCCTCCAGTCCCACAACTCTAGTGGACCCTCCAGTCCTAACTCTGGGACCCTCCGGTCCTAACTCTGTGGACCCTCCGGTCCTAAATTTGTATACTCATAATAAAACATAGCATAAATCACATAGACATAATGCAAAACATCACAGTACTCAAATAAACACATAATACCCTCTGGTCACCCTACTCTGGCTACCACTCTAGGTATGTATAGTGAGAAGACTCACCTCGTAAGCAAGCAAGCAAAACCTTGTACACGAATCTCAAACTAGCCTCCGCCTATCACATAGGATAAATATCTTCAATTAATACTCTATTCTCGACTCTAAATAAACCAAGGGTTATTCTCTCTCTCTCTAGCTCTTGAAATGGGTAAAAGACCATTTTACCCCTCTATGGCTCTCCATTACTCATATTGACCAAATCCTAAAGTCAATAGAAGTTAAACTCGAGTCAACAGTCCATGTTTGACCTGACTCGCCGAGTGCACCCATGTGACTCGTCGAGTCCACTCTTTTCCTCAACAACACATAGATCGAACCCAATAACCCGAAAAGCACCACCGAAAGGATCTCATACGATACAACTATCTTCCTCCATGGACACCTGAATTCAAACAAGAACTCCCAAACCCAGAAAAGGACAGACTCCTCTGCCACTACGATACCCGTTCTGACTCTCCAGAACCTGAAGACTCTAGTGACCTGTCTCACTGCCAGATCGCCCTCTCAATATATCACCATGTTATTCGTCCCTCGAATAACAGACCTCGATAACTTACTGCCCCTCTGATTCTCTTGTTGTGTCCGATAGAAACAAGTCAATGCCCAAAAATTGGCTACCGATCACTCATTCCAGACATACTAAACGATCCAGATCATACTCCAAGGAACGAAATGATCACATCACACCAGGGACCCATCCACTGTACTGCAATCACAACCTATCTGAACAATGAACTCTCACACCCTGTCCTCAGACACAAGAAAAAATCATGCTTGCTCAGAAGTATCTTCTGACATCTAACGATCATAAACCCTAACTCCCTTTTCAATTATCCCTTTCAACACTGAACACCAGGTCAACTCCCGATCCAACAGTTGAACCTCCAAAGGTTACCCATTGCTTACTCCAAAACGTCTCACTGACTTCCTTCTCTCTATAAGTATCTCGGCCCAGTGTGACACACAAGTCACGAAGTTCGCTTTACCCCAAGCGAATACTACAACCCCAACTGAAATCGTCTCACCCTCGACCTCTGTCGTCTACTACTCTTTAGTTCCATACGTCTCGCGGTCCTTCCCATACAAACGAACTGACCCACTCAGGTCTAAGACATCAGATGACACACAATACCCCTCAAAATGGAACCCATCTGCGAATCCGGAACCTCATCTCGCCTACTCAATACACGAATTGTCCCATATTCAACTCGAGAGTCTGATTTCACAGCAAAATTGGAACCACTCATTTCCAATATGTTACTCAACCCAAACTCGCGATTCGCAAATTTATGCACACACCGTCTCTCCAATTCCTTTCGATTACGATAGTCCCTCCTCAACCCGGGGATACAACAATCCTCGACCGACACGGAGACCCCAGTCTCGCCCCTGGTCCGACAACTAGGTACCAAAAGACTCAAGTGGTAAGGCTACCCAAGCCTAAGAACTCCTCTGCGTCATACTCTGTCTAGTGAATACTACAGCTCCCCGTAGATTCACAACGCTGCTCTCTTGCTCGTATGGTTCCCCGCAGTTCCACAATACTCTTCCGCTGACCAGTGAAAACTACGGCTCCCCGTAGTTTCACAACGCTCTCCCTCTGACCAGTGAAAGCTACGGCTCCCCGCAGTTTCACAACGCTCTTCTTCTGACCAGTGGAAGCTACGGATCCCCGCAGTTTCGCAACGCTCTTTCGTTGTTTGGTGGATACTATGGCTCCCCGCAGTATCGCCACACCCCCTCGCTAATTGGTGAATACTACGGCTCCCCACAGTATCACCACACTCTCTCGCATTATCTCATGCTCCGCGGCCCAACATAGATAGGTGCACACACCCATCCAAAATAAGCATCACTACTCCTGACGGCAACCGTCATGAAAAAACTCATTTTCTCGCCGCAATTCACATTCTTAGATAATCCCACTTGATGTCAATTAGCCGAATGGCTCCCACTTGAACCATAGATGCTTGATACACCACTTACCATCCCATAACCCAATACTCAAAATAATTTGAAATTTAGGACATCATACTCGAATACCTCGGTACACCATCACAGGACCTCACGATGTCTTGCCTCAACCACTGATCTCATATTCACAGCATCATACTCAGATACCGCAATGTACCTTCTCATAATCTCACAACCGATCTTCCTCTCGCACAACTTGTAACTTCAGAATATTCCCATCTCACAAATTGAAACACAGAGGAATCGTCAATGACTGAAAACACGTTGACGAAAATCCGAAGCTCCACCCTCTACTGATCACCGCCCATACGAACTACTCACACTAACTCGAAAATTGGTTGACAAATCAACTGTTGCCCCTCCTGGAGTATAGATCACAATCTATACCTATACCCGCAAATCTCAGCTATTGCACCTTGAACTCGACGATCCAACCGCCTCGAACTCAACAATTGCAAACTCGAAAAATTCCTAGTTATAATAGATTCTCTGACCAACGGCCACCTGCCGTGGATTCATTCATCCTTCCTTAAGCACATACCCATACATCATCCCGCCTTGCGCCTCGCCTCATCCACCAATAACCAAGATCTCATGTGTCCGCATCGCGGATCTCCATAACCAGTTCTCTAACCGCACTTTGAACGGATCGCAGATCCTCTCAGTAAAATATTCAGTTCTCTCCCACTCAGGGTTCGAACCATCACCAATTGGCATACCAACAGTCTACTCCACAGACTGTTTCACCAGGTACGTCACACTTGACTCTTGGATTCGTACCACGTAACACTCGATGATCTTCTGATGAAAACCAAACAACTCCAAATATCCCGTAACTTAGACAAAAATCTCAGAATCCTCTCGACGTGACTGCCTCTAGACATCTCGAAGCCTCAGACCGACACGCCGCCGGATACCCCAACTATTTCGAATTAGTCCTGACTCTCCATCTGGAAATAATGCACGATCACACACCTCGTCTCTTATTCCT